GCAAAGAAGCTATCTGGCCCACCCCGATTGTACACCACCGCAGGGAGCTGATGCCTTGTTGGAGCACTGCGGAGAAGCTAAGCATGAGTTGAGAGTCTAGGGTTTAGGGTTTAGGGTTTCGGGTTTAGAGTTTAGGGTTTCGGGTTTAGGGCTTCGGGTTTCGGGTTTAGGGTTTCGGGTTTAGGGCTTCGGGTTTAGGGGTGAGCTCTCTGCTTGGGCTGCATCTCTCAAGCACATGCAAGCTTAAGCTTGGGGCCTTAATAAGTAGAATAGGCTTTTGGGGGCATTCTCATCAGTAGAGAGTACCCCAAAAAGCCTATTCTAAGTAATAAGGCCCCTATATTAGATTCAGGGATCCTGCAGTCTTAGGAAAGGCGACATTACTTAAGCGAAGCCTCAAAGGGTTTCGAGTTCAGGGTTGCCCTTTAGGTTGTTTTCGGGTGCTCGACTCTCGCACTCGCTTAAGGCAAGCAAGGATGCACACCAACCAGACATGCCCAGACTACGAGTCAACGCAGGAAAAAACAGTGAATTGGTGCAAGCATAAAATTAGAGCGTAGGCATGAAATGGGTTTAGGATTTAATGTGGTCTTCCGTGAGCCTGTTGACAGTGGCCCTTGGACTTAGACATAGGGCACATACGTACAAAACATACTACAGTGTCTAAACAACGCGGCAAGGTCGGGGAGGTTGGTTCTTTTCCTGCTCAACGTTGCAGAAGAGGCATGGCCGCTGCCATGAACAAACAACAGCAGCGATGACCCTGTCGCTCCCTTTTTACAAACCTTGATTCAAATGCGTTCTATGTAGTACATAACTTATACACGATACTCAAGAACAAATACTGCGTTATATGCTCTATGTGTGTATATATGTAGACACATATATATGTATATATATATATATAGATAGATAGATAGAGATATAGATATAGATATAGAGATAGATATAGATATAGATACAGATATAGATATTGGTATCTATTGTGCAATAAATGCTGACCAGAACTTGGGCCCGGTCAGGGCGTCCAGCCATCGGAGGTCTTCACCGTGACGTGCGACGACGAGCTGTACAGCATCGTGCGAGAAATTGAACTCCTGCGCAGTTCGGAGTCTCCGGACGTGCTCGCGCTTGAGTCTGCAGCAGACATCTGCGACTCACTACAGTTGGCATTTGTAGTTCTCAGATGAGAGTACTTGCGAGAACAGGACAGCAAACTTGCTTTGAGGCGGAACAGGTCAAGGAACCAGGCAAGCAAGAAGAACATCGGGCATAGATACAACGAGTTCACCAGGTACGGGAAACCTCGAATCAATCGTGATAAAACCTTGCGAGTGGAGTAACGCTAAAGGATAGCTATGCGTAGTAAGTTCTGTCCACGGTGTTTCGCTAGGCTGCTGCTGTGCCGCAAAATCCCCAGCACGATCCAAAACGAAAACCTAAACACTGGCAGCGAACCTCCGACGTAGAGGGATTATGCCATCGTCGGTCCTGCACGAACTGCACACATGGTAACAGTGGGAGCATGAAAAGCCTACGAGTACATATTTTCGGCTACTATCACTGTGCACTAGTAAAAATAGAATAGAATTGAAGAGAGTTATGTTGTGACAACAAAGGTGACTTGGCGATGCAGGAGGGCTGCTGTCCAGCTGCATGTCGAAGCAGGAGTCGTCTTGCACCACACAAAGTCCGACTTCGTCGTCCTCAAAGAAACCAGGTACGACGCGACCATGCCCACACTACATCTCAGCCTCTGCAGAAATTGGTGAACAGCTTAAGGCCTGAATTCCAGCAAATCCGTAAGCGCACAACAATCACAACGCAGCTTCCGGATGCAGCCCTGCACATGAGCTTCTGTTCTTGTATTGGAAACTCCGGCAATCGGACATGTGGCAATCACGCTTTGCTGATCATGCTGCCAATGCAGACGAGCATCATTGCGGGCAACAAGTTCTGCCGTTCCATGCACCTGCGTTCCACGCGATGCGAGCTGCCTCTCACTCCATGATCGAGCAGTAAGTCGCAGAAAAAACCAGCATTCACACAACGGCTTCCATGGGCTGGCAGGGCGAAGTCACAACACTCTTCGACAGAATTCGATCGCTTCAGCAGCAAAGGAATCAAACAGCCCCAAAGCTTCACCACGCCTGGAGAAGAGACTTCGAGTGAACCTGCTGGTTTTCGCAGGCCTGCAACTTTTTTCGTGAAGGGCTGAATCTCGTGGATATGCGGTAAGAAGACAAGCTGTTGGCGCTTGCAGCCGGACGTTCTGGTTCCATAGGGACACTTAGGGGGGGTACGGGGGAAGAGAGGGGACCATACTTCCTTATATAGGCATGATCAGGTCGTTTTTACGGGTATTGAGGCCCCCTACAGTACCCCCCTAAGTTCCCTAAGGGTCCCTATGATGGTTTTGACAAGAACCTATGTGCCTGAATGTCACTTGCGGATACCACGATCCAGGCAGCACCTTGGCTCTCGCCAGGCATGAGGATTGACCTACACACCGAAGTGCCCATGATAATTGCTCTAGAGAAGTGCTACCATCCATAATAGAAGGGCCTTGATAACTAGAATAGGGTTCTGGTGTATACTTTACTATAGTGAGGATGAGGAACCCCAAAACAGTAGTTGTTTTGGTCCCCTAGAGTATAACCTACTTGTCGTATCATATAGAACTAGTAAAGGCTAACCTTTGGGATTATATAGGAACTATAGTGCCCCCAAAAAGTTACAGTTAAAGGTTACCTACTCTACTACTGAAAATCTTGTTTAGTCCCCTATAGCATGTCATACGATACTATCTGGCACTATATCACACTACAGTGTGTGTATATATATATATACACATACATACATACATACATACATACATACATACATACATACATACATACATATATATATATATAGATGCATACATTAAGGGTTCGAGATCGGCCTTCCAGCCCCAAAGCCGTAAAGCATGACAGCGCCTTTTGTGAATTTTCCAGTAGGACCCGACGAGGCCCCCTATAAAGGTTGCCATAAGGGCTATTATAGGGAGGGTTCTATCGGGGTTTGGGGTGTAGGGCTGTGTTTTGCAGAGCTGTGACAATGAGTTGGCTACCTGCATATCAGCACGGCTGAGTGCAGGTATCCAGGCCGCGCGTGTTCCGACTCTGTGGCTTCCACCAGTTGACAAGAACAACACTCATAGAGCGGATAATACTCTCCGCGACACCACCCATAGACATGTAATAAACACCAAGAGACCCAAGGACCTAAGTATAAACCCCAATCAGTAGGATCCTGAATGACGAGGACCCTTTGGGAAAAAGGACCCAAGCCCTCAACCCCAAGAAGCCCCAAGCTGTCTCAGCCACTAGGTCCAGCACAGGCCAGCAGCGCCCGAATCATGCCCTCAAGGGGTCCGAAGCTGCTAGGGCAAGGAATTTCAGTTTAGGGCTTAGGGGTTTTATGGTGTTGGGGTTCTGGGTTTGGGGTGGGTTAGGGGCTTTGGGGTTGAGGGTTTCAGGGTTTAGGGGACCCGGGATGAGAGTTCAAAACGGCTTGCACTTATGATTATGCCAGTGTAAACCTTCGAATTTGAGATAGGGAGTCTTTTTGATGCTTTGTAGCATGCCACACGTGTTCGGGCTGGCTTCTTGGGACAATGTCGACCTGCTACGAAGGTTGATCATCATGGTGGTCACCATTATAGTGGTACTCGTAGCAATAGGAAGAGTATCATGCAGCAGAAAGACGAAAGCAACAGTGCTCCCTACAACAGAATGTTTAAAGCAATAGAAAATGCAGCTGATCAAAGCGACAATGTCAACCACAGTGACAAGACCGCTCGCGACAACAACAAGAGGGATCATGATTACTGATTACTTGACATCTGTAACGTTGCTACATTTATGCCATCCACACGGCTACTTACGATGCCTGCACATGTTACGCCTGAATACAATCGTGGAGGGATGACAAGGAGCTTTTGCCGAACAGCTTGCTAGAAAAAACGCTCCGCCTTCGCACACAAACCCCTCGCCCCCAAGATGCTCACATGCCTGGCACAAGTGAGCCGTCGCGTGCAAGGTTGTGAAGTCCTGCTACCGGTAGAGCTCATGGAATAAAATGAAAACAGGCCTTGAGCCTGCAGCCGGCGCGGTCCAAGTAGTTGCGGTTGCAGCTTAACCCTAAATCGCCCGAATCCTTCAATGTGGGTTCAACAAGCCAGTCGGTCAAGCCCGGACTACCGGCAAACCTCCTACAGCCAGGCTATGAATTAGCTGCACAAGAACGGTCTCAAACATGACGCTAGCACAGCCAACACAAACGATGAGGAGGTACCCCAAGCAAGGATTTATCCTTTGCACGAACAGAATCAGGCATTGCACACTAGCAGCAGTTGATTTTGTTGTTGGTGTTACGGGCGCAAAACCCAAGCCCACTTCAAGATCAAACTTTCCTATTGGTGAAGGACTAGAGGGCTTAGCAGTCCGTAGACGTCTGTCGTTGGTAGCCGTAGTAGATTTCACAAAATGCTACACTCGTAGGGGGCATTTGTAAGCGGCTCCGATGCTATTTTATGTCCGCCCTGCCCCCCCCCCCCCCC